CAAAATTTCACTCGATTTTAATTCAATTTCATTATCTTTAACTAGTGAGAATCTCGTGCGATGAACGAGAGGTTCGTACCTTAGAACATTATTATTGAAACGTTATAATAATATATTAGCCTGCTGACCCGTTTATATTAATATAAATAATATTTTAACATATATATTTATTTTCTTATATAGAAGAAATAATAATTTTACAAATTTTGGTTTATCATAATACTCAAATATTATTTTATTCAAAAATTTATTGTCTTATAATGTCATTATTATTTATAATACTTATAGAAGTAATATTCTTTCTTTATATAATGATAATGATTTAATGTATATTAAAATTATTTATTGATGTAATTAATTTAATGTTTATTAGAATTGTAAGTTAAGATAAAATGAAATCAAAAAATATTTTTTTTATGATATTTTCCTTTAAATGTTTGAATGAATTTGTAATTCAAATTATAAATCAACTGCCAGTTATAAATTCAAATATTTTTTTGCTTTGGTAATTACCATTTAGAAGAATACCAGATTAAGTATAATATATGTATGTGGTTGTATTTCATTATTTTGGTAAATATCAAAATTTTATGTGGTTAATTATTTTAATCCGATAATATCAAATCACATGTTGTCAATACATGAAATTAAGTATATTATTGTTTGTGGCTATATCTTATTATTATGGTAAATACAAGAAGATTATGGGGTTAATTATCTGTGAATATTGTATGATTGATTTCATAGCTAATTTGCGTTTGAATTTGAAAATAAATCAAGCAGTGAATATAAAATCAGATGTTTCCTATATTAATCATATGTTTTCATAATTTGAATTTCAAATTGAAAGATAGCCTCCCCTTTTTTTTTGTTTTTTAAGATTCGAAAAAATGTACAAATAATAGTAATAATGAATTTTTTTTATGGGGTTTTAGTTTTTTTTTCTTCAGTAAATCTCTATTCCTATTATATATAATAGATTATTATTTTTTTCAAAGAAAAAAAGGATACGAAATTCAATTAATACGCTTATTATTTATGGAATATCAATTGATTTTGATTTACCAAAATTATTAGTTTTTTTATACTACAAATATATTCATACGTTTTAATATATGTATCATGTTCAAATCTCACATTTTTCAAATTCAATGCCTTCCAAATTTTATGGGATATCAATGGACCAATGGTTTGTATTTTCAAAACCTTAAAATTTGAAAATTTAAAGAGATACATAAAGATTTAATTAGGAAATAGAAAAAGGATCAATTTAGTTACCTAAAAAAGGGCTTGGCAATATCCTATCAAAATAACCAAATTTGGTACCATTAATCACAGGTGTGATTTTATTTGCTAGTAAGTCAAGTATTTATTTTAAGTCAAATGTACTATTTATATATTTTTCCAACAACCACTTTATATTACTATAGATTAGTATGTAGCCCGTGCGCATGTGGCAATAATTAAAAATTGCATATATCAAAACTATGAAAAAATATTGATTAGCATAAAAGTAGTTTTGAATGTTAATATTTTTTTCTTTCATTTTATGGTATATATTAATTTAACATATGTTTTATATGTTTTGACTCACCCATTATAAAATAGATGACATTCCAAGTTTATGTTTAAAATTAAAATAATAACTATTTAACATACTCAAACATTATCAATAGATAATACACACATAATGTTTCTCTTCCTATATTACCTTACTCATGCGTTATTATAATATGTAAATTTGAAACTAAGTTATGCTAATCTTAAAAAATTGTGCCAAATAATGTAACCCACAATTAATTAAAAAAAAAAAAGTGATATATATTATTTTAAAGTTTAAATTTTAATAATTTTTAATAACATCAAAAAATTTTTTTTTTTATATATGATTGGTTACCAAATGAATAAGAAATCACCGTGATTTATTATTGAGGTTGGTAAATAAGATTCTATTGTAACGTTGTGATAAATATCATAATAAAATTTTCATAACTAATTTTCAATTTTTATTTCGTAATTATATTTGAGATTTTATCATGCATATTCAAATAATAGTTTTATTTAATAATCGCTTTTTTAAGACATGTAGAAAATCACGGTATATGGTTGGTTACCAAAATAATAAGAAATTGCAGTGATTCGTAGCTAATATAAAGAATCGGAGAATAATTATCACAAAATAATGTTCAAATTCGATACAACTTTATTTATATAGAAAGTCATGTTATTAACCAAATTGAACGATTTGCAATAGGTAGGTATAATTTATTTTTTATTATATTTCCTTTAATAGTAAGTCAACCAATTTAATTACAAAGTCAAAGTTACTATTTTAGATGATTCTAACAACCTCTTTCAGTATATATAGATATTATCGAGATAATTAAGTAATATCAATCATTCTTGCAGATCAAATCAATTTTAATTAACTATTCATTCACACACACATAATTTTAACTTACCATCATTTCACATCATTTATTCCGATATTTACATCAAATCAAATTTAATTATTTTATTTTAAATATTAATTTAACATAAACTCTAAATCTCATTAACAACTAACAATATTATTTTTTTTAAAAAATTAACGCTGGTTAATAAAAAAAACTCGTTTTGAGCAGATGTATTTGTATCCAAGCACGCCATTAGTGTTTTGGGTAATGAGTTGGATTATAGTTTATAAGTTTTATGTATAATTCATATAATTTTTTTTAGACTAAAAAATTGTTCCAGTTTATATCATAACTCTTTTTTGATAGTTTTACAAATAAATGCGCTGAATATTTTATTTCAACTGGCTTATCAGTCAATTTTATCATACACTTTTATCATATCAGCTGTTTTTTCAATCATAAGCTAATTCATATTAACTAATTTTTTAGTCATACGTTAATTTATCAGATATCAGCTACCTTATCACCTGATCATACAAAACATAGCTATAGTAGTTGCCATCGTTCCAAATCAATCCTGGTGGATGCACTTCATGAAATGAATGAAGTGCACCTCATTGTAACAGTTAGACATGACCCCAGGCCGAACTAGCCCGCCGTTTCGACCCAAACTGGCCCAAAATCGGCCGGTGGTCAACGGACTTTGAACCGAACCCGTGTTTTGATCTGGCCAGTTTCTGGCCACATGTATATACTTTTTGAACCGCCGAGCCAGTTTCGAATCGGAACTGAAACGGGCGACTCGGCATTTTTTTTTAAAAAAATTTATTATTCTTATGTTTATTTATTTTTTTAGTGAACCAGGTCAGCCCAGAACCATCAGTCATGGAATCGATCCGAAATCTATGATTCATTGAACCGCTTTTGGCGATGTCTAGTAACAGTTCTACATGAAAAAACTTTAATACCCTCTACATGAACAATAAGATATTTTAAGTGCAAAAATAATAAAGTTCAATTGGACATAACCCCCATAAGTTTATTTTGAATTCAATCTCTCTTTAAATTAAAGTGTTCTGCACTTTCTACAAAGAAGTTAAATCAAATCAACTATATAATGCCACAAAGAGATTAAAATAATGCCTTAATAAAATATTTTATTATGACAATATTCAGTAACCCCTAAGGCTGATTTTATTCGTGACCCAACCCATGGGTCGTGCGGATAAGACAAAAGAAAAGGTGGATTTGAGGCGATCCAAGTCACAATGTGACCTTCAATCGTAACCGGTCAATTGCAAGAGAATGAGACACTTCATTCCTATTGAATATTTTTTTAAAGATATGGTTTACAGATTATTTAAATTTTTGGTGTTACTTTATATAAAAATAAAATAAAAAAAATATCAAAATTCGTATTTTTGCATCTATCTATATATAAAAAGATTGTTGTTTAAATCATTTATAGTAACTTTTGACCAAATTAATAATTAATTTGACATACTATATATAGACAATTTAATAAAACAAAAAAAAACCGAAATAAATGCTTTCAATTACCGTAATATATGATTTTTAATTTAATAAAATTCCAATTAGTTTATATTTGAAAACGTGATTAAGAGTTTGACTTCAAACTAAACACTTGATTTCTGTTAGAGGTTTGTGAGTTACCGAAATACATGCTTTTAAAATTAATGACATTTGAAAAGATACACTTAAGAGTTTCACTTGAATCCAAACACTTGATTTCAGCTTCTACAATTTAAATCTAATACTATTTAATTGCAATAGAGGCCAATATACATTTGAGAACGTGCATTTGAGAGTTTGAATTTAATCAAAACACATGATTTCAGTGCAATTTAACTTTAATATTTAATTGCTATGGAGCCCGAAATACACTTGAGAATGTGCACTTAAGAGTTTGAATCAAATCAAAACTCTTGATTTTAATTTCTTCAACTTAAATATAAATATAGATAGCTAACAATTCAAATAATACAATACAAATATGGAGCCCGAAAGACAATCGAGAACCTGAACTTAAGAGTTTGAAATAAATCAAAACACTTGATTTCAATTTCTTCAGTTTAAAATTAATATTACACTTGACATTAGATAGCTAACAATTGAAATAATACAATACAAATATATGTTTTAATAGGAACCATACAAAAATAAAAACCTTATAAGAGAGGACATAAATTACTTTTAACAAAAAAATACATTGTTAAAATAAATTATAATAACAACACAATTCCTAATAAAAGTGTACTTTAAACAACATAATTATAACTACAGATCTTAATCAAATTAATTAAAAATTTGATATTTGAATCAATTAAACTATGAACAGAAACAGTAACCCAACATTAAATATGTAGGTCTAACGTTTGCTATGAAAATTCCAATTCATCCAGACTTATCTTATCATTATTTCAATATTTTAATTTATTTAAATTTATAATTTGAATTTACCGTCTCATCACTTTTCATTAGGACACACATGCCAAATAATTTATTATTCAAAACTTTTAACCTTATCTTATCATCAAATCAGAATTTGATGTTTCTCAAACTCATATTTTTAAATTTATATCATTATCATTATAATTCTTATCAAACATCTAATAAAAACTTCTTAATTCATGTAATTGAAAGCAAATTTAAACTTCTAAACAAATAAACCAAATAATTTAAAATTTAATTCACGTACACTTATCTTATCTTAATTTAAACACCACGTGTACATTAACTCGGTCATCATAATACTAAACAACACGTTTTATTAACATAATTACTATAAGAGTCCATAATATTTAACATTGAATAATATAATAATATAATTTTATTATCATGCTATAATACTAATAGAAATTCATTTAATGAGAAAGTGTACATTATCTCGGTCAATCTTTCTACACGCGAAAAAAATCTAATTAAATATTCAAAGCATTTTGACTTATCTTATCATCAAATCACAATTTGAAGTTACTCAAATCTATACTAATACTAGGAGTGTAGTGCTCTGAAAGGCACAGCTGGCCCAAGTTTATGTATTTAATTTTATATGAAGCTTGCAAAATATAAGACACAGTATTGGATGATCAAAAGATATTGGGACTATAGTAGTCTGTGACAATACACAAAAGCATATTCATATACAAAAGCATAGTCATTAGCATAGCACATTGAGTATTTTCCTTTTACAGAATCCAAAAGCATCTATATGTATATAGATGTTTCTAATTCTGTAAAGGATTTGACCACAAAAATATAAGTTTTTAGCTAGGTTTTTCTAATCCTTCAAATTTCGAATTTGCACACAAAAGAAGCATCCATTCGTCATGTTTTTCTAGTTCAAAAGTCAAAAGCTTGAGGTGGTGAGCCAAAAGTCAAAAGCTGGAGGTGTCGAGGCGTCAATCCATCTTGGGTCGACTTTTCTTTGAAGGGCTGGCAGGTAGATCTGCATGTGTTTCAGGATTGAACTGGCTTGATTTTGGTGAAGCTTGTTTTGATGGCGCGGCAGTTGTGATTGAGGAAGAGGCTGTTGGTTGGCTTTCAAAGTTGATGCGTTTCTTAACAAGTGTTTCTGAACTTCCTATGCTTGGATCTTTCTCAATTTTCATGGAAACAGACTGGAGTACATTTTTGAGTGTTGGGGTGAAGAGTTGCTTTTCCACAACCTGTTTTATAAAATAGAAGAATTACAGTAAGTTATTGATTAAATAAGACTGTGAAGAAGTCTGAATTGTAATTGTAGTTTATTGCACCTGAGGTGATAATGAACTGGGTGTGTCTTTTCTGGGGGGTTGGTCTTCAAGCATATTCTTCTCGGTGTTCATGTCGTCAGCGGTATAGAGCTTTAGAATTGTATGATAAGCAGACTCGGTATACTTAATGAAACAAACAACTCTGTGCTTTTCTATTAATGCTTCAATTTCACCTTTTAAGTCTTGGCCCTGCAGAACGAAAGCATATTGAGTATAGTCATTTTAAGTGAGTGTAAACATAAAAGGAATGCAAATCTATAAGCACATTATGTGTTGTGAAGAAGACTTAAACATTTATTCTGATTAGTTTGTAAGTAATGTGTTTTACTAATGACTATAACCAATATATTGCTTTTATCATTTAAAAATTCAGCGAAGAGAATACTAACATTTTTCTCTGCTTCATACAAATCATTCCCGCTGAATGGGATAATTTTCTCTGCATCAGTCCCATAGATCATTGCATATAAAGTTCCTGTTTCATCTTTAATCACCATTGGAATCCGACACCTATTATTTTTTTTTTAAAAAAAAATTATTTATTAAACATCATGTAAGATTATAGTGCTTTATTGTAATAATAAGTATTATGAGAATTGTGTACCTTGCTTCAACGTAAGTATTTGCCTGGCAGCTTCGACATTTCATTGCCGTGTTTGGCGGCATATTGTAATTCTTGCGGCAGTTGCTGCACGTGGCTGACCATAAAGATTTGTTGTCGCCTGCGAGCTTGATTTTTCCACTTATCCAACAAGTCTTCGTCTGAAACAAATATTGAGAATATACAGACTTAAGCCTTTAAATTTTATCTTTGGCAACTAATAATTCAAGCATGTAACAATTCTAGCAGTTGGATAAGTATTTACATTTGATATACAACATTGCATAATTACCAAGTATAAATGATTGGATGGAACATGTTTTTTTTCATTAAGTTTAGTGGGAACGACAAAATTGAAAAATAAAAAAAAATAATATTATCCAGTGATACTTTTTCATATTCGATTACATTACTGGATTTAAAATGTTTATACAATTACAGAGAATTTGAGATAGTAAACAGTAAGAAAAATTTGTAATCTTTTCTTTACATCTCAATAGTGTGTTATTCTAAAAGACATTATTTTGAAATAATTGACAGGATACAAAAGGAAATTTAATTTGCCTATTGCCATGAACTACAATGCTACTAATAAGTGTTACCTTAAAGAATTTAGGCATATATCAGAAACACCAATTACTATATAAAAAGTCTGATTAGCATAACTGTAATCTGCATTTTAGTTGTTTGATATAAACACAAACATAGAATCCTTTCTTTACTGCAGTAGTTTTTTAACTGAGTCAGGTGATAATGCACAAAGAATTAGAAGAATGGAGTAAACATATTAAGTGCCGACGGTAAATGCAATAACATGTATGCTTGATTTAATTGACTATTTGTATTGTTGGGATTTGAGATCTTACATATTTGAGGGATGCCATTGACTTTTGCACAGTAATTATATCATTGCTCTCAGGCCATGGGTATAATTTGTCTGTGTTTTTATATTCTCCTTCATCGATAAGCTTTGCAACATTGGCTTTGTTCTGAATATACCTGTAATGGAGTTTTCTTTATATAAATAGATATACATGTAAATTTATAGGTTTATATGAGAATTAAGGTTAGAACATACCACTGTTTGAGATCGGCTGCGGCAACTATAGGTGGATTAACCATCAAGCAAGTCCCTACTTTAGTCGATAACGACAATCCTTGATTTCCAAGTTGTTGTTTTAAGTAAGTGTTGGTATTTAAGTAAATTGTATTTTTAACACTATTAATCTAAATCATACCATGAAATGTGGTCACTCGGCTTCTCATAACGAGGAGAATGTTAGCTGATGCAATTGTGTTAGCCAGTGTTGTACCGTGGTCTGTCTCGAACTGATTCCATAGTGTAAGAAGCATTGGTTTCATTCTGCAGAATAAACAAATAATGAGTTAAATAATAATCTGCATGCATATATTTTGTTTGTGCTTCATTCAATTAATTTCGTTTCTCACTCTTCGTTGACAATGATTAGTTCGCGTGTTGTGTTAGCACCAATAGTCTTTATTGGAAAAGCACGAACAACAACTGCAAGTAAGCCTGTGGATAGATTACAAATTTGTAGGAATTGTCAGTAAAAAATGTATTCAGAGATCTTTGTTTTTTTATTGGTTATAAATGAAACTATATAAAATCTTACTCCTGGGATTCTCTGTATCAGCATATTTGTGCAAATTTGCAAACGGATGAATTTCAATTGAGCACGGAAGTTGTGGGGGCAGGGGTTCTTCATATTCTTCAACATTTGTACCTTTGACCAGAGTCCATTTGTACTTGTAATCACCAACCTGATACAGTGGTATCTCTGGACGTACTTTTGCTCCGGAAACGTAGTATCTTTTGTATGGCATGAGCAACGGTGGTGCAAATTCGTCGATGTCAGTGTTGTAAACAACTGCAGCAACTTTTGTGCCCTGTTATGTAATGATGATTATTTAGTAACATCTAAGCAAATCATTATTAGGTTAAATTAACAAAGTAAATGTGTCGAGTAATTATGCACCTCTTCATCTGTGAATAAGTATCTGCGATAATGCATCGTTGAATCATTTTTGCTTTGATGAACGGGTGGCTTCTCAACAACCTGGATAAGCGCAGTCCAGTTGTTGGTGTTTTCCGTAATTTCCTTAATCGGCAGATATATCCTCGACATTGTCACCTGTAGAAATTTGTAATAGAAGGTAGAGGTAGTTAGCAAAAATATATGGTATTTAATATAAGTTAATTTATGCAGAAATGAAATGTGTTTTTCAAATAAAATTAAAGTGCATCTAAGTACATTGTATTATTGAAGCTGCCTCTAAAACTTCATTGTAAACCACGTTTTTGGTGATGTCAAATTCATGTGGGCTGAAAAAAGGCGGTTTGATTACAAACTTAATGTCTGATGATTGTCTTGCACGAGACAATGCTACATATAGTTGTCCATGTGAAAAAACAGGTTCCCTTAAATAAATACCGACTGATTCTAGTGTTTGACCTTGAGCTTTATTAATAGTCATAGCAAAACATAGCCTAATAGGAAATTGTGTTCTTGTGTAAGCCACAGGCACTTGGTCATCATTGGAAGGCTTCAATGGAATTCTATGAATAAAAACGTTTTTCCCTTTGAAGTCTCCCACAGCTATTTGTGCATGGATAATGTTTCGACTTAATTTTTTACATATAAGTCGTGTTCCATTACACAAGCCTTCAGTAGGATCTAAATTTCTAAGTAGCATAACAGGAGCATTTACTTTTAACTGTAATTTATGAGGGGGCATTCCACCTGGGGTTAAAGAATTTATTATATCTTCATAAAGACCTTTATGAATAGGATTATCTACTTCATCAAAACTGAGATATTCCACCATTTCACCTGAAAAGGCATTAATTAATTTGTTATTTATGTCATCAACAAATCTATTTTTAGTAGATAATATTGCCCTGTTCATTTGAAAACTCGGATTTGTATCATTTTGTTTATCTCCATAGTGGCCATTTTGTACTGGAGTAGTTTGCAAATCAGGATAAATTATAGCAATTAGTTGTTCAAGAGCATCTTCTGTATTAGCATCACCCAATATAAGCGAAGGAGGTAAACGCACTGAATTGTTACTACATGTGGGTTCTACACCATTTCCTATTCGTAACAAATATTTAGTAAATAAAGGGTCAAATCGGGCTCTCATATTTTCCGTTAGTCGAATTTTTTGTAGCATTGGCCAGATATATGAATTTGTAATGCATGCATTTACGGTATCGTGTTTATTTCCCCTGCAAACAACAGGTAAAATTTGTCTAAAGTCGCCGCCAAAAACAATAACTTTACCACCAAAGATTTCAGGTGAGTCTGTTAAATCTTTGAGCATACGATCAAATGCTTCTATTGATGTTTTTTTAGCCATTGGTGCTTCATCCCACACAATTAGTTTGCTTTCACGTATCAAGTTTTCTAAATTACTTTGTTTACTAATTTTACATGAATTTCCTTTTGATAGATCTATTGGGATTTTAAAGCGTGAGTGGGCTGTTCTACCACCTGGTAGTATTGAAGCGGCAATACCTGAAGTAGCAGTTGCTAAGGCTATATAACCTTTCGATCTAATGTCAGCCAACAAAGCTCTGTAAAGAAAAGTTTTTCCTGTACCACCTGGGCCATCAATAAAAAATGCTCCTGGTTTTCCACTATACACACGGTCTAGTATTATAGTAAAAGCCTCTTTTTGGTCTTTATTAAGTAATGATATAGCATTTAAATCTTCTTCACAAACAATAATATTTTCTCAGCAATTATTTCTCTGTTATCTTCTTCAATATGTAAGGTTACATTATCTGGCAAGATGTTAAATGAATGAATACTTCTTCCCATTGACTCTAAAAAATCATTTATTTGTTGGAAAACTTTTTTTTTAATATCTATGGCACTCAAGTTTGAGTTTCTTGAAAAATCTTCAGACATAGCTACTTCGAATTTATTAAATAAATCTCTAGGATTGTTAGGACATGAATAAACAAGTAAGTTAGCAAATAGTCTCCTCATTTCATATGGCATTTTAAAAGCTTCTGCTTCTTTTAGACATTGTTCTTGCGTGTTATCATCTTGTAATAAGCCTCTCAAAAAAGCAGCTTCATGATTTGATTCGGCAATTTTTCCATTAAAAGATCTGATATCTTCGAAGGATTTTGGGCATTTAACATGAAGCAGAAGAAGTTTCAGATAATACCTATCGCCTTCATTAGGATGCACAGTGACTATTCTACCTATTTAATCTCTTCCACTTCTCTTTTTCCATTTTTTTTCTTCAGTTAGCCAAACAAAATATTCAGGAAATTTGACATATGATAAATTTAGTTCTTGTGCATATGAATCTGTTCTATTCATATAAAAAAATTCTGTAAGCATAGTTTTATGATTTCTTGGGTTATTAATTATTCTTTCTAATCTATCGTTTTTTTTACAATTGATTTTTTGATAGTTTTTCAAATGGACAGGCAAATTAATAACGGCAGGTTTTATTTCGCTAATTGGAAATCGGAAAATCCTCCATGCAGCTTCTGGTGGAGAAACCCAACGTGCAGTTCTATATTGTTCTATTTCATCTACCTGTATATTTTGATTAGATGTGTCTATGTGAAATGCAATTTTATCGTGGCCTTTACAGATATATTTATAAATATATTTCACAGCTCGTATGGTGGAACAAATCTCTACATTAATATGACAATTAAACTTTGCCAGTAAATATGGGTTATATGGAACCACCCATCTGTTATCTAACATATAGCCTCTAACTTTGACTGCAACATTATTATTTGAACGTTGATACTTTGGATATGAATTGCTTACCTGTAAAGTTCGATCTGAAAATTGTTTTGGATAATTAAATTTACATTTATTGTTTTTGGTCATACACGAATTATTTTCATTCAATTCTCCACAAGGCCCATGCATCATATGTTTCTTGACCATATTGTACAAATGTGGAGTTAAATGTTTATTTGGTATTTCAGCATTGACAATTTTATCAAATTCTTCAGGTCTATACATTTTATCTATGTTTGCTAGTATGATTAACATATGAGCATGTGGGAGACCTCTTTTTTGAAATTCTATTACATATGTATATGCCACTACTTCTCCAAAGATGTGTTTTTTTAGAATATCTTTTTTCAATTCTTCAAGTTTAGCATGAAAAACTCTAGCTACTAAATCCGGTCGATTTTGGGATTCTTCGTTTTGTTTTAAGATTTCTTTTATTTCAGGCCAATTAGGATTACATGTCATAGTTAAAAATATATCAGGTTTTCCAAATTTTTGTACTAAAGACATTGCATCTAAGTATCTCTTTTTCATATTTCTTGGACCCCCTATAAAACCAGCTGGCAAAAAAATTCTTTGCCCAATTTTTGATGCATTTGTTTCTCCTGCATTTAGACTATCCTGTATACCTTGCATAATTTCTTGTCTAATTTCAGTTTGTTGCTTTTTGAAAAAGTCTAATCTCTGTGACTCAATTTTCACATATACATCAACTATATACTGTTGAAACAATCTTCCAAAATTTAACAGGCAGGACCCATCATTATCTCTTATTTGTAATTTGTAGGCATAGTAATCTCTCATGGAAACGAAATTTCGACCCCCGAGCGTGTTAAGATTCACTGAAAGCAGAATATATTATATACGTTAGAATTATCTTATTTAAGTAACTACTCTGTAACTTTTTATAACACAACAATCGAAGTTGCAGGTGTCTAGTTATGAACTTACCATTTTCAGCTTCAATTAAATCTTCAGCAGATTCCATATCTGAAGGTGAAATTATAGGCACTGATGCATAAGTTTGTGCTGCCTTTTTTGAGACAGTGGTTCTTAATTTTTCTATTCCTTGATGCCACCCATGTTCGCCAAAAGGGAAAAGTAAAGGATATTGAAGGGGATCATAGCAACCAAAACAGTATTGTATTCTATGCGGAATGCCACTACGGTTATATATTCTTATATCTCTTTCAGATGGTTCTTGATTGTCTTCAATATCAAGCCATAATGCAGCTACTTGAGATGTTTGTGGCTTGTTGTAAACTCTTTGATCAAGTTCAGGAAAAGTCTTTAAAGTGATTTTATAATCATCAAAATTTGTTATCTCATTAAGTGTTCTGAAAAATTTGGCGTATGGATTGTCTCTAAGAACATACATAACTTTTTCAATAATAGACTCAGATATTCTAGGGCAGGCTTTAAATCGGTTGGCAACTTCATGTTCAGTATCATGAAAATATAACTGTAGATTTTGTGATGCTTCTAAATCATTCAAGAAATGATACATTTGCCCTTGTATTTTAAAAGTATAAATTCCTTGATTACGCTTTGTTAAATTTTTATCGCACTTCACTCCCAATGATGTAAATGCAAATTGATTATTAACAGTTCGTATACAGTCTCTAAATAATTTAGCTTCTTCTGATGATGAAAACAAAAGTTCTTTAAGAACATCTGGTGTTGAGTGACTTGCTAGTTTTATACGACCATCTGAGCAGCAGAACTTACTCGTTTCATATTGAAATTTGAGAGCATTACAATAAGGGCATTTTTTACTTTTAGTTAATACAAAAGGCTCACCTGCAATGTCATCCAAAATCCCCTGGCACACTTTTTTATGTTTACCTATAATGCAAATGCAAATGTATTTAGTTACTGTTGCCCATGTACTATTTATAATATTTTGTATTAATTTGACAAGTATTCTGAAATTTGAAGTGGACCTGCAGATCCTGATGTATTATTAGCAGGGCTACCTGTTATAAGTATTTTATCATTAGACCCCAAATCTTTGTGCTAAAGTAATATCCGACTTAAATTTTTGGGAGACGTAAAAAATTGAATGGAAACTATTACCTGTAGGTTGTGAAAAAGATGTTGTATTTTCATCAACTACGTGCAGATGGCGTAAATTATCGCTGGATTGAATTGAAGTTTGTAGCATATATGGATTACCTATGTTTACATTCGAAGTGCATTTTTCGAAGCGAATACTTTTATATGTTGGAAGAGATTCACTATGATTATGATTAGAATATTTATCTTTATACACAGATGGATGTTTTTGAGTAAATGGTTGTTTATATTTTTTACCTCTCCATTTTTGAATAGCGATTGACTTATATGTTTGGTTAGGAGATGGTAA